GGTGTCTCTTTAGTGATGTGCTCAAGGGTTGCAACTATACCTTCTGAGTGAGGCCTGAAGTGATACTCAATTCATCAGTAGTTTTCCAAGTCTGGAAATTGCTCCTTAACAGAAGATAAGAAAAAGATTTGGAAGGGCAGAAATGAAGGGTTAAGCAGGGCCTATTCTCCCTCACCCAGTAGTAATCAGGCCAGGGAAGGGGAGGGAAAGAGGTATGCTTCAAAACTAGCAATCTCATGCCATTCTTTATGGCAGGATACTCTACATATAGGATAACATGAAAGCCTTGGCATGGTTAGATTTCTGTCATATAACATGGTTTACTGAGCTTTGTAAGCTCATTCTCAGAATTTTAGCTTTCTGTCCCTAAGATACAAATAAGATATAAACACAGTGCAAAAATAAAGTCTGAGTGAATGTATACTGGCAGGGGGTGCTAGGGTGTGCATGTGTATGGGGAGTGTATATGTGTATATATGTGTGTATGGCCTGGGATGTATATGTATGTGTGTAGATTGTATATGTATTTGTGTGTATGTGGATGCATGGATGTGAATATGCATGTGTGTATATGTATGTGTTTGCATTTGTGCATCTATATGAATTTATGTGTGTATGCATGCATGTAGGAATATGTGTGTTTCTATGTGGTTATTTCTGGAAAACTGTGTTGAAAATTGCCTCTCTTTAGAATTAAAAAAAAAAGAAATACTACTTCTGGGTGTATCTGGGAGGGTATTTCTGGAAGAGATCAGCTTTGAATGTGTAGACTGAGAGTATAAATGGTAGCACCCAGTCCACTGAGGGTCCAAACAGAACTAAAGGATAGAGAAAGGGTGAGTTTTCTCTGTGTGTGAAGGAATACCTACATACTTCTGCCTTCCAAGTTCTCCATCCTTTGGACTCAGACTGGGACCTACTCTACTGCCCCACCACCAGTTCTCAGACCTTCAAATTCAGACTGGCTATAGTACTGGCTATCCTGGTTTTCCAGCCTGCAGATGGAGAGGGCAGGGACAGGACTGCTCAGCAACATGACCCAGTTCCTGTAGTAAATTGTCTCTCGGATGGATGGATGGATGGATGGATGGATAGATGAATGGATACAAGATAGATGATAGGTAGGTAGGTAGGTAGGTAGATGACAGTTGACAGATAGATAGATGGATGGATGGATAGATAGATAGATAGATGATAGATAGCTCAATAATAGATGATAGATAGATGATAGAGATAGATAGATGATAGATAGATAGATGATTAGATAGATAGATAGATAGATAGATAGATAGATAGATAGATAGATAGATAAATCTGATATGTTTGTGGGCAGGGTGCTGTACAGTTAGAGTTTGTATGTGTATGTGCCTGTATGTTGTGTATGTGTATAGTGTGTGTTTTCATGTGTGTATGGCATGTGTGTGCACATGTGTAGACTGTTCATGTGGTGTGTGTTGTGCATTTATTGTATGTGTTTGCCTGTTCTTTTGATATACACATTGTGCTGAGCAGCCTGGCAAAAATAACCTCAGTAATCCTTAATAAAGCTTATTATTTTTCCAGTTTTGCTCATATAACAGTGATAAATTTTCCTTTTTCAATTTGACATTTTATCATGTTCTTTGGGAATAAATTAAGGAGATTCTAGTCATATGTTCTTAACTGAAGAATTGTTTTGCATTAAAATTTTTTATTGAGCTTTTGTATATTTCATACAGTAGTTCTTAATCAAATTTAGACACTCTTCCCCATTCATGTCCCCCAAACCCCTACTGGACGTCAGGTATTCTGCCATACATGTTAAGTCCTATCCAGTCAAGCGTTTTTACCCAGATGTCCTTTGGTGCAAATTCATCCACTGGAGTCTAAGCCTATCTAGAGATCATAAGTAAGGCCTATTTCCCTTACCCAGTAGTAATTTTTCTCCAGTAGTTCTCAGACTAGTGCCAACCCACCAGCATTTCCCTCACTCTCCACTCTGGGTCCTTTTTGCTACTGAGTTGGCATGAGACCTGTGCTCCATGCCACCATTGCCCAAAGTTCACATGTACAAGTTTCCAGTGGCCTGAAAGAAAGCCTCTGCTTCCCTGTGTTCATGGACCAACCTTGGCTCTTACAGTCTCTGGACCCTGGGTGGGTGAGGTTTAATATAGGAATCCTATCCAAGGACAGTCTCTTATTCTCTAAACCTTAGTCAGTTGTGGCCTTTGGTATACATCACACTCTGTTGTGTAAAGAAGCTTCACTGGTGAGAGTTGAGGGATGCACTCGTATTCTCTCTGCCTCTTGTTCCACTATGTTCCTTTATTTTTAGGTGTAGAGGTTTTACTGTAGATATGTTGCCTAGGGCTGGGCATTCTCAGAGGTATATTCTCTGTATGTGACCAGTTGTGGAACTCTGCAGTAGCCTTCATTTGTTGAATAAGAAGTTTCTTTGATGAGTAGTGTACTGTATATTTGTCTGTAATACAAGGATCCATATTTAGCATATGATAAGAAATTTAATTTGTCTAGAGATATGGCAGAGATAGGATTTTTCTCTAGGATCTATGACTTCTCAAGCTATGCATTTTGGCTATAATTTCAGAGCCACCCGTGAGTTCACTCTACTAAAATGTCCAGTTAGGTAGATGTTGATTTCCCCCACATAATAGTGCCACTACTACACCAATGGAGGTAGTTTCCTGTGCCAGTCATTATTTTTATTCAGCTTTAGGACTGGGTTAGACCCTTGATTGATTTTCTCCCTTAGTAGCTTGCATAGTATCCTATAGAACTATGAGAGCTAGTTGTCAGGAAAAAGTCTTCCAGGTCAGTTCCTGCTCCTTTGCTTCCAGTCTTGTTTCTGAATTAGGACCTGTCTTCAGCAGTAGGGTTATCTTAAACTGATTATAGGTGCCCATCAGCAAGGGTCATGCTTTCAGCTCTGGGAGATAACCAAGGGCCGGGCAATGGCCTCCGTTATTTTGGGAGTCACTTAAACTATTCTGAACAACCACTCAAAAGGAAGTCTCTCCTGCCTGGCACTGTACTCCTTGCATATAGCCTCCAGGTGTACTCCTGAACTAATGTTCAGACACTATATGTATTTCTCAGGGGGTTCCCAAGCCTACACAATTCCCTCTATCTTCCCATGCTACTCATGAGCCATTCATCTTGCCTCTCTCTCCCTGTCCAACCTATCTCCTCCTTCCTGAGTCTAAGCACCCTCATTAGTCCCACCCTTCCCCAAATAACACCTACCTCCCCCATCCCCCTTCTATAGAGTTCCCTCTTCCCCACCTTCATGGTCTCCTGTGTGTTCCTCCCCCCTCCCTTCTAGAGGAACACTCCCACTCCCCCCCAACATCTGGTCCCTAATATCCCCCTCTTTTGGGTTTTCTTTCACATTACCTCCCTGTTTCCTTTCCAGTTTCCCGGTTCTAGCTATTACATCAGGATATATACCTGCAAATAAGGGATTGGTGTTATGATCCACAAATGAGGGACACCATAGATCCCGGGCTTTTCTGAATTTGTGTTACTTCCCTAGTTTAACAGTCTCTAGTTCCATCCATTTACCAGGGAAGAAAAAGGTATTGTATTTTAATTCTGTAGCTATTCAATTGCCAATATTTGCATTGTCATACTGCAAATACCAACTTTAAACATACTCTTAATGAACTAATCAATCATCAATGATCCCATAAATTGGAAATATCCACTAATGTATCAAGTAGTTTTGTAATTCAATAAGATTTTTTAAATCCATAAATTAGTCCTGGTTTCTTTGTATATTAACCAGTATAGCACTTTCAAAATTTTCTTTCTGATAAACAATTTTATTAGTAAAATTTTGCAAAAATTCATTTAAATGAACCAGATTGTAATTCTATTGATAATGTAGATATTATTAAATCATTTGTGAAATGTGGCATATTCCTAAATTATTAAAAAGAATATTAGAAAAAATAATACTATTATAAAGATATTGGCAACTATATTAATTAGAGAACATACTTTAGGTTCTCCACCTAAAATACAATTTTTACATCTTTTAAAAATTTCCTTTTCCAGAGAACTGTTCTTCAGAATTGAAATTTTACTGGATACAAAATATTTGTTGTTCTTAATAACAAAATTTAATAAATATTTAAAAATATTTCCAATGTTTTTAGCAATTAGAAGTTCAGGCACTAAATTTCTGCACTGAATTCCAAAGTCATTACATAATTTTAGAGTTTCAATTAACTCAAATGTATATACGGAGAAAGAAAAATATGTTCTGCAGTGACCTTTATGCTCTGGGGCTTATTAAGCCCCGTCATCTGCACAGCCTCAGCACATTGTTATTCTTTAATACACTCACATCTAACAAATGAATGCCATGACATAAAAGAACCCTGTAATAATTGCGGTTCTAAAGTGTGGAATAACACTAACAGTTGTCGCCAACCCCGCTGACCCTGAATGTCACCACTGAGGCCGTTTCATCTCTCCTTTTAACCTTGGCAGTAAAAAACATTATTTTCGGCCAACATTGTGCCTCCTTTACTCATGAATCGCTGTTCTTGAGAGTTATCCTGTATTTCTTCACCAAAACTGTTGGCAAAAAAAAAAAGGTCAGTCAGAGTTTATATGTAGAAATAATAATTTTTATCAATTGAATTTACTTAAAATCATATCACTGTTTCTCTTTCATTTTCAAGTGACCTAATTGTTCTACGACCTTGAAAATTCCCACATGCTTCTGGTTATCTTAAACTGTTTATATGTGCACATCAGCAAGGGTCATGCTTAACATGGTAAATGAAATTCAGTTCCTTACTACTAAAATTGGCTTTAAGACATACACACACACACACACACACACACACACACACATTATATATATCTGGTCTCCATGAAGATTTACAGCATTATAATCTACACAGCTGGATATAGAATGCACATGTTGAAATTTATTTATTTATTTATTTATTTATTTATTTATTTACTTATTTACTTATTTATTTCTCTCGGGATAGCATGAACACAGTCTTTCACTACCAGGAATTATGTAGCAGAATTAACTACATTTGTGGAAATAACCACTATCAACACATCAGAGTGCAATGGATGAGCCTCAGCCCGGGAAAACCACTTGTGTTATCATAGTGTCTCCCCTGCCAGGCAATATATATGTTGAAATTTCTATTAACTGTTATTTTTAGCATGTATGGACGTCTAAATTTTTTTGTGTGGCTGTGGTTCTTTGAAGTCCTATAATTTTCCAAGTGATAAATGAAGACCATAATTCAATTGACTAAATAAGACATCAGTATAGACAAAGGCAAGACTAAACAAATATTGATCTTTGAAAAATAGAGATGACTGCTGGGTAATGAAAATGATCCTTCCAAAAGAATATGATGTTAATATACGACAGCAAAAAAGGAAAGAACCATCTTTATTTAGAAAATTAACAGCAAAAGTCACAGTAAAATAATTATTGATAATAATGAGATGAATAAAATAGCATTTGAAAACATTTATTTGTAGAATTATTTCCTCATATAAAAATTGTGTGGTTTGGAAGTTAGTCCACTGGTACAGTGCTTACCTAGCAAGTGCAAAGCCCCTGGTTTGATCCTTAGCACAAGGAAAAATACACAAAATGGTAATGTTTTCCACACACATTTGACAAGCCAAAGAGGTGGCAGCTCAGATATGGTGTAGAAAGTCTGATTATCATTTTTTTTTTTAGAAAACACCAAATCAGTGAACTCTTGCATTTGATTATTGGAATTTAAAGTGCCTCATTATTTATGTTTAAATAACTCTAATTTATGGAAACTTACATCCCAAAGGAATGGAAAATAATGACTCCCTTTTTAAAAAACTGGGCCCTGACCTGAGTTTCATTATTACCACATTTGCATCCTCCCTCTGTGTCATGCCCACTCTAAGAGGTAATGAACAGCAACCTTGTGCTCATCTCAAAGAATCACCTAACTGACGTTCTGGTCTTATGCTTTTTGTTCATTTAATCAGTACGGCATTGGACTGCTCCATTTATTTGATCATTTCAAGAATCTTGAGCCAACTGTAATGAATTTTGTTGCTCACAGTGGCTTGCCTGTCTGACTAGATCCTCTACTGAGGCATCTATAATGATGTCTTCCCCGACTTGCTCCCTCCAGCTCTCCTGCGTCACCCATAACACACCTCCCTCCCAAGTTCATGTCTTCTTTTTTTCTGTGATAACCCACTAAGTCCTATTATTGCTGTCTGTACATGGGTGGGGTGATCCACTGAAGCATGGATCACCATTCATTTTACATATGTATGAAATTCTCAAAGAATAGAAAAATTGTTTGAAAAAGAACTGTTAGTGATGAATATAGTCAATTCTTTTTTAAACTTGATTTATTTTTTTTTTATTTTATGTGTATGAGTATATTGCCTGCATGTATGTAAGTGCACCCATGTCATGCAATATTTGTGGAGGTCAGAAGAGGGCATCAGATTCCTGGGGAACTGGAGTTATGGACGTGTGTTAGCCACCATGTAGTTGCTGGGACTCAAACCCAGGTTCCCTGCATGAGCAGCCAGTGCCCTTGACCACCAAGCCTTCTCTCCAGCCCCTGTCAACTCTGCTTTTGTACAACTGGTCATTCTCATGGTACTTTTGACACCTAGTCATTCCCATGATACTACTCTAGTTGGTTATGAGACAGCGATCTTCTTGTTTTCCTGACTGTGGAACATTGTTAACTGATCTCTGTTATCTCTTTAAGTCCACCTCATTCATCCACTAGGCTGCTTTGTTCCTTTCTTCTAGAAATTAAATCACCAGCCAGTGCCAGGCTTGTGTTAAAATGTCCGTTGTGAATCTGCAGGTTAATTCAAATCCCAGGGTGCTTTCTTAGGGCCATTCACAATTTGAATTTCATCTCTCTTCTCTTATTGTATCAATGTAACATGTAAATACCTGGTATTAATTAATAAAAACATTTCTATAAATAATGGAAAGTGTTCATTGTCTTATTTATCATTAAGATTCTTCAAAATGAAATGACTAGCACCAATTTAAGGACATTTTAAAAACCATTGTTTTTTCACACTATTATGGCATACTTATTAATTTTAAAGTGTATTTTTGTTCTCAAAAATTTGGGTCCAATGACTATATCTAATAATACTTTAAACTTATGAATCAACATACCTTCTTAAATATAATTATTTAGTATTAAAGACACAAACTATCCTTGGATTTAGAAGTGGCAGTGAACCTTAGGAAATTTACAGTAGGCCTCTATCTGAATTGTTGTTATTATTTCTCCAGCTCTGTCAGGAAGTTAGCAAATCTTTATACTTCCTTATTTCTATATAGTCAAACATGGACATTTTAGTTAGTCATGAACCTGACATTTAAATTTTAATAAAAGATTACTAAAAGCAAATTTGAAAACTGATTCATATTTTCTTGTTATCACACTCAAATACTAATATAAACATTCACTGAATAAAATGCAGTCACTATTTTAATAATTAGAAAATTATAAAACTTCTACCAGTTCTTAATGAAGAAAATAGTCACAACAGAGATATACATAATGAAAACATCAATTTATAGTTCCTTTTCACACATGAAATTAATCTTGGCAATATACTTCTGAAATCTTTTGTTTTCACTTTACTGAGTCAACAGAATTGTATTTTTTAATCAACTTCAAAAAATAGGTATCTTAATTATTTATTGCTTTTATAATTTCTGAAGAAATCAGATGAGTTTTTAAATGTGGTTTTCAGTGTATATTAAGTGTTATATTTTACTAGATTACTTAAGATTTTATTAATTTAATTAATTTTAATAAGGATTTTTTAATATGAAAATTCCTCCTTGTATGGAAGATCAAAATTCAGAACATATGTTTTACTATTTCAAATTTCAAATATATTCAAGCATTGAATATTTATACCTTTACATGGAAACGTATTCAGTTTTCAATGTTGAGGTGAAATGTATTGGTTTATGGAATTTGGTACGTGAGTAATATATTTCTACTCTTCTGGCTTGTGTTGTTTCTTCGGAAAGAACCAATCTCAGATCTTTCTTGTCCTCCATGGAAATTATCTGACTAGTATCAGGAGAGTATAGATGAGAAAAGTTCTGTCCAATTAATAAAACTTTGATACTTTTATCCAGTGGATGTTGCCTTGTACTATGGTTTCACTCTGAAGTGTCCCTCCAGAAACCATGCATTTTAAATGTTTGTTCGCCAGCTGGTGATGCTCTCTGGGGAATCTGTGGAGCATTTAGGAAGCAGAACCCAGTGATGGAAATAAATCAGTAGGACACGGGCATTTGGAGGCTTTGCCACCCTCTTCCTGTGTGCTCTGCCTCCTGGTCCTCCATGAGGTGAGAAGCCAGCCTACAAACTCTGACCAGCATAGACTAAGTCAGTCTGTCATGTGTTTCACACTTCAATGGCCTGAAACCCTCTGAATTCACAATCAACTTCCTCTTTTCTTTTTGCACTTTTAATTGAATTTTTGTGATTTTCACACAAATCTTTAATGGTATTTCTATCCACTCCCCTCTCGGGACCTTCCCTGATTGCCTTGCCAGCCTAATTTAATGAATATACATTAATACACACACACACACACACACACACACATACACACACACACATGAATATACATTATGGCCTATAGAGTATGATATATGTTCCCCAATCTCCTTTGGTGTGGATCCATCTGGGCCCAATTGATGGCTGCTGGGATGAGGATAAACTTTTTAAGTTGATTCTGATTTCTGTCAAGTACTTTTGTCACAGTGGCAGAAAAGCAATGAATCCAAGTTGTATGTAACTTTTAGAAATGTATCTGCTTATCACCCAGCACAAGACTCTGATCCAAGCTATACAATAATATTCTTTGTTTCTTTTTTAAAATTATTTATTTAATAACCATATAATTAGAAGAAGCATTTCATTACAACAGCATTGACATATTCAATAACAGTTTCCAGAGCTAAGATGCATTTCTTTCAAAACTGGCTGTAAATTTTTAGGTATATAGTTGAATTAATACAGTTATACAATATTGCACTCTGTCTAAACCCTATAAGACATAAAATGAAATGAGATTTTAAACTTTAAAAAGACCTCCATTTCATTATTAAAATACAGTTTCATACAGAAAAATTCATTTTTAATACAATTGACACTAAGATCCACATGCATTTCTAATCTCTATATATCTGATTATTACTAGTCACGGTCGGTTATTTTCTGAGCTCCTTGGCATCTGAGCATGGATATTAAGTCATCAGGTAGATTTCAATTTAAGAAATGGAAACAGGAGCTGGAGAAAAAGCTCGGTGGTTAAGAGCACAGGCTGCTCTTGCAGAGGACCCAGGTTCAGTTCCAAGAACCCACATGGAAAATAGCAACTCTCCTTAACTCCCATTCCAGGGGATCCTATGCCCTCTTCAGACCTCTGGGGGCATTGCTCAACAGGGGTGCACTTACACATATGCAGGCAATACACTCATACACATGAAAAAATAAATAAGCCGGGTGTGGTGGTGCATGCCTGTAGTCCCAGCACATGGGGGGCAAAGGCAGGCGGATCTCTGTGAGTTCAAGGCCAACCTGGTCTACACAGTGAGTGCCAGGACAGCTGGGACAACAGGGAGACCCTGCTTCAAAAAAAGAAAAAAACAAATTAAAAATTAAATAAATAAACAAAAACAAATGGAAACAGACGTTCAGATTCATTTAGACATAGTTGAGAGTTTTGTGGTCATAAGGTCATAATGAGTTTAAAGTCCTGATGATGAAGGGCAGCTGTGATCCCGAATCATGAAGTAGTGAGTCTTCAGCAAGGACAAATGCTTTAGTAGACTGACTAACTTGATACTTTGAGGTCAAGAGAACATCCTATGACATCCTCATATGACATCATCAAGCCCCCTGTATATTTGTATAGCTGTTTTGTCTACTATGTCGTGTTACATATATGTGTTTTGCTGTAATGCTTCTGGGCTAATGCTTACCAAATAGTGCGTCTTATGCCCATATGGCCTTAAACATAGGCCCTCTTTCTCTGCCCTTTGTCCTCAAATCTATTCATGTAATTGTTTTATTTATTTTTATTTTTTGTGTGTGAGTGTTTTGCCTTTGTGAA